CAGTGTTGCCATTTCCAAAGCGTGTGTTGCAGCATCTATGGCAACCTGCAAGACCGCTCGCTACCCAGTTTTCTGCATTCAGTGCCCAGCCTGCTCTAAGCAAAATGCGCGGAGCAGAAAACGGAATAAAGAACGAGTCAACAAAGGCGTCCTCTAAATAGCTGGTGGCGTATCTGGCGCTCGCAGATTCAAATTTGGGGGCATCGGAGCGGAGCGACGCGCAATTTAGGCACACGCTGTTTGTCCCCCCGTATTGTCGCGCGAGGATGTCAAGCGGGAATGGGTATAGCGAGCAACCCTGCGCGTGCATTTTACTATTTGTTGCGCTTTTTTCGATTTATACTTTGCTAAATAAACGAGGACGCCTGTTATGCCTCGTTGGCTTTCAACGCGGGGCGGGAAGATTGCAGCGCGGCATCTTAAAGAGCGAGGGAGGGGACGCGTTCTTCCTGGGGTTTCCCTAAATTTTCCCTAAATGGAACGCCATGTACAAACAAAAAAATGCCTGAAATCGTTTTTGGGTGAGGATGTCACGACGCCTGGCCTGATTCCGCAGATTGAGTGCACGTTGAAATGAGCCTTGACTATAAAAATCTTAAATGGTGTGAGGGCTTTGAGGGTTATTTTGTTAAGACAATTATTATGATGTGGATAGGGGTACAGATAACCAATACTGAGAGAGCACAAAACCTTTTTTATTGTGCTTTTTGCGTTGCTTAAACTGGATATTTCAATTTCACGAGAAAAAAAATTCGCAGATTGTGCTACAGGTAAATGAATTTAGCTACACAACCGAGATTTTTATTATGATACACGAGCAGGGAACACCGAAAGCCCGGGACGCAGACTGTAAGATTGTTTTCTTCATTTGCGACCAGGCGTCGCAAATGAAGTAAACTATATTACGATATTAAATTTGGACGGGTTTAGAGGAGATTTACATCTAGAAAGCAAGGAACGAACTGCCCCAATTTGCACCCGTGCTGTGGTAAAGGGCCTGATACACTCGCAAGATTTTTTTTTTTGCAATTGGCACTTCGTACATATGTCTAAGGTTAATTAAATTACTATTCTCGCACCAAAGTAACATTACTTGCCCGTTTTAGTATTGTTTAACCGCGACTTTTAGTAACAATAACCCAGACTATAGGAATCGAATCTTTAAATGCTTTAATAGAGCTAACACGTTATAGGCGGGCGTGGCCTTACGTTCTTTGCTCTAAGTTGATTGGATTTGTTTCTTCAATATGGCGCTAAAATTTGTTTTATCAATATGGCGTTAAAATATCTGGTTGGTACTGGTGCAAAATAATGATATATCTAGCTTAATTCTAACTTGATGTAAAGATTCCTGCCTTCACTTCACCTACGCACAGCACGGCTTCCGCAAGCAACTTTCATGTGAGACCCAGCTGCTGTTTCTTACTAACGACCTTTTTCAAAATCTCGACTCTGTCTTTCTTACTAATGCTGTCTTCCTTGATTTCGCCAAGGCTTTTGACAGGGTCCCTCACAATCGCCTTCTATTCAAACTCTCTTCCTTAAAATTAGATCCTCTCGTTCTAAAATGGACTGAATCTTTTCTTAGCTACCGTTCTCAATTTGTTTTCGCTAACGACTCGCCTTCCTCCTTAGCTCCAGTCTCCTCTGGCGTGCCGCAAAGCTCTGTACTTGGCCCTTTACTCTTTCTAATCTATATTAATGACCCCCACTTCAACTTTCTTCTTCAATTCTCCTTTTCGCAGATGATTGCGTTATCTATAGACTAATAAAATTTCCCGACGACCACCTCATCCTCCAAAACGACATTAACGAAATTGCCGACTGGTGCCGTGCTTGGCAAATGTCCCTAAATATTACTAAATGCATGCATGTATGTTTCACGCGCTCGTCCTCCCCCCACGTAACAACATTAACACTAAACGACACCGTCCTCCAGGCCACTACCGAATATAAATATCTTGGTGTTTATTCAACTAATAGTTTATCCTGGAATAATCATGTTAATAAGATCATACCCTCAGCTGATCGCTCTCTTCGTTATATTCGGCGTAATTTCAAGACGGCTCCTTCTAACTTTAAAAGACTTCTCTATATTACTCTTGTTCGCCCTAAACTAGAATACGCCTCATCCATCTGGCATCCCCATCTTTCATTTCTCACCAATGCAATAGAAGCAGTCGAAAACCGTGCAGCTTGTTTCATTCTTTCCGATTACTCTCGTTTTTCCAATGTAACTGAAATGAAATCTCAATTAACCCCCCTTACCTTTCTCTTCGCCGCAAAATTTCCAGGCTTTCCCTCCTGCATAAAGTGTATTACTCTCCCTCTTTAAGTCAGTCTCTCCTTAGCCCACCCAACTATGCTTCTTCAAGACTGGACCACACATGCAAGATTTCCCGACCCAAGACCAAATCTACAGCCCACCAGCATTCATTTCTACCCGAAACTATTGTGGACTGGAATCGCCTTCCCGATAACATCGTCACCATCTCAGATAACACCAAGTTTCGCCTCGCACTTAACCACCACTCCCCTCTGTAATGTACCCTCGGGGCCCTGAGGGTATTTGTAAATAAATAAATAAATAAATAAATAAATAAATAAATAAATAAAAGAACGGGGTTACCAAGCCCCGCGGCAAGCATCCACGTAGCGGCCTATTTGAGGCCCCGACACAATGAATGAGAGGTGGGCTCCCCACTTCGTACTGTATGGACAGCTACAACACTGAAGACAACCGTTTCTGCTGCGTCGCAGCTTAGCTTCTCTTTGGACCGCACGCGAGGCTCCGGACAATGGGTGGACAGCGCGTTGAGCGCGCGTTTTCTTTACGCGAACTGCCCACACCACTAAGGGGCAGACTTTTGCTTGTGACTTGAAAAATGTAATGAATTACAATTACAAATTACCGAGCCTCAAATGTAAAGGATTACCATCGGAAAATACTTTCGCTGAAAAGTAACGGATTTTTTTACTCGTTAGGTTACAAATTACAGTCACGTTACTTTTTCCTTGCACTTATCCAGAAAGCAATACAAACAATTTTGATATTTGTCAGAAATGTTCTGCAAAACTAATTTTCATTTCTTGTACGCCCGTATTATGATAGTCCTTGTAGAAATAAAATGTTGTATTTAAGAGAAAGAGTGTAGGTGTACTTCGTTCACCTGTAAGTTGACTAGGCACGAAAGCTGCAACCACACCCACCACCACGCTAGCTTGCGGCCTTCGGGAATGATCCCTGGAATTGTGCAGACAAAGCTAGCGGTGCGCATGCTCAGTAGCAGCGTCTACCTCCGCTACCAGATTCGGAGCTAAAGAGGCGATCTACGAAAGCTCCCATTTGACTCGGTTGTTTCACCTGTTTTTCGCAAAAAAAAAAAAAAATATCTTGGTCCTTGAGGAACAATATATAGCCAATGCATAATGCAGGTGCCCCAGCTTACCTTGGTGTGTTTCCGTAGATTAGAGTTTGTTGTTCTTGCTGATGAGAATGCGTGTTTTTTTGGCAAGCAAAGTATGCACTAAAACTCTAGGTTTCCATTCTTCTTAAGGCCCTGAATTATGAACATCTCATTAAGAGATGGCCACGGAGACGACGGACACTATATGATCGAAAACTCGACAAGTCAGGAAAAAAGTGGCGGTTACGAGTTATCGATCGTCCATTGGTTCTCACTTTCATTCCAATATACGTGGAGTCCAGGGGAGGGGAGGACAAAGCGAGCGAGAAAAGCGGTGGCCATCGGTCACACAAAACAATAGATCACACCCCTTTGCGCGTTCTCTCTCTCTCTCTCTCTCTCTCTTCGTCAGCACTCTCTAGAGAGCCCAACACTCCCCCCCTCCCCCCCCCCCCCCTCCTTCTATGTTGACAGTTGACTGTAAAGTGAGGAGTGGACTCGACCACCATGCCTAGGCAAGTAGCCAAAAGAAGTAACCCTTAGCCTCGCGCCGAGCGCTTTCACCCATGCTTCAAGAGCGTGCTAGAATAAAGTAGCGCACATCAAAGAAAAAGAGAATTCAATCCCTTGCGCGAGGCTACACAGCGGCTACATCGTCTGTTACGCGAGTTGTGAACCCGCGAATCGAGGGGCTACGGACCCGGGTTTGATGTCTGTGCAGGTGGCGGGACACGGCGAAGAAGTTAGAAAGGATGAAACGGTGTACAAGACAAAAACAAATAAACAAGAAGAGCTTTCTCTTGCCCGGGAGAAGAAGAAAAACCCGATGGGAAGGCGACAAAGAGCCTACTCGGCGTTGTCTGACTTAATGTTTGTCTTTAGTATACTTGTACAAACCTTGCCCGTTTTTCTAGTGGTTTAGGTCTCCGGTCATACAAAAAATTGTGTTTTCTTTTCGGCTATTCTCCCCTTCCTGATGTTTCCTATTTTGTTGAACTTGCTTTCTTTATGCTGCTGAATGTTCTGCTCGTATTGCTCCAATTGCTGCATGATGCTAATATATTTTGTTAAAAAGTAACGAGTAATCAAAGTAATCAGGTACCAATATTTTGTAACAAAATTACATTACACGTTACTTCTGAAAAAAGTAACGTCGATATTACAAAATTACTTGAAAAAGTAAGATTATTTCCCAACTCTGCTAAGAGGGCGGGGAGATTTGGTGCCGTAGCCGCGCCTTTTTAGTGAAAATGAGCGGAGTGCAGTGTATTACTGCTATAACCGTTGACAGAGTGAGAACGACGGGGCGTGTCTTTCGCACTCTCGATCTCCAGCACGCACTACCTGCCTTCCGCCTTGCTTCGGCTGCCCACCCGCCCTCGAAGTGCAAAAGACGCTGAAGAGTTGTCGAAGGTAGAACGCGTCCAGGCTGGAGGCAGGACAACTGAAGCTCTTTCTTACCGTTCTCGCATTGTTAGTGTCTATATTAAAGTGTTTAGTTCCAGCGTCCAAAGAGGCCTCTTCTTTCCCGTTCTTCGGCAGGCGCCAGACGGTATAATACACGACGACATCAGAGCTCCGACGTGGACTCACCGTTCTGTCTCCGAGCTGCGAAATCCTGCAGTGCAGGAAGGCGGACTTGCCCAGCTGGGCCGTCACGTTCCGGTCGGTGCTGTTGTCGAAGTGGGGCCTGAAGTGGGGGTCGTCCCAGTAGGCGCTCGGCCGAGACGGGGGCTCGCCGCCCACGCCGTTCGAAGACGACGAGGACAGGACTCCGCGTCCCGCTGCCGGCCCTCCGCTAACGACGGGGGGCGCAGATCCCGGTCCCGGCACGAGGCCCGAGCTCGGGCCCGAGCCCAGACCCGAGCCGGGCCTGTCCCTGAAGCTCCGCTCCGTGCGGGCCGCTTCCCAGGAGGTGGCCTCCACCGGCAGAGAACGCAAGTCCGAGCCTGGAACGGAGAAAAAAAAATCGTTCGTTAAAACCGTGCGAGGACTTTATTGCGAATTGGTACTTAAGGCGCCCGTAACATAGAGTGTCTCGGTACGCGGAGCATTTTCGTCGCGGAGCTTCTGTTTTTTTGCTTACTCAAGAGCGCCCGAAAGAGCGCTTACAGTCAAGAGCTCTTGGCAATGAAGAGTTCAAAGGTTGGTTCACACCTTTAGTTAACGCAACCCCATTTTCTTGCGTTACATTATGAAAGCATACGTGTGCTTACACCACAAGTCACCGGGACATCTGTGATTCATGTTAAGCGTGGCTACCAGTTGATGGAGATAGCCTGGCAGGCAACATTCGAGACACGTATATTTCGGTGACGTACGCGTAAAGGTTGGCTTTACGTTTTCTTACGTTACGCATGAATCGCCGAAATATTCGTGTCTCGAATGTCGCGTGCCAGACTCTCCTTGAACTGGTAGCCACACTTAGTATGAAGCACATATGTCCCTGTGACGTGTACGTAAGCTTTCGTAACGTTACGTAATGTAAGAAAACGGGACTTTCTGAACCAGCTTTAACCTAATAAAATGTACAAGAACTGTGCTTTGTGAACTAGTGTTAACCAGCCTTTATAATAGAGGAACCCAAAGCTCCACCTAACAGCTTTCAGCGTCGCGCTGCGGATGCACAGTTGGACTGTCCTAGCTAATTGGTGAACCCTCCTTATCGAATGGGCACGACCCCTCGATTATGGTCGCAGGAAACGGAGTTCTTGCCGGGAGAAACGTCCAAGGCGGCCGCAGTGAATGGTATTGAGCTTGGTGGTGCAGACCACCGGCCACACTTAAAGGAGCCATGAAACGATATCGGGTTGGAATGTTCATGACTTCGCAGAGGCGCACAGGTTTTAGTCTGGCACAAGTGTACTCGCACAGACTACTACTGTTTCAGAAGATTCTTTGTTGCGGTGAAATCGCGAGGATAAAGGCGGACTATTTAGTCTTTCCTTCGCAAAGCTTGATGACGTAACTTTGGGATCAAAACCACCCGCCTGGCCACAGTCGAGCACGGGTCGTGAATTGGACGCGTTTTATTTATAAAGACTACTTACACACCTCCAGTGTGACTGTCCTGAAATCGAGAGCAGGCTTGCAATCACTGAGTAGCAGGCGTAAACAGGCGAGGCTTTTATTTTTACACAAAATCTACTACTTTAACCAGGAACTCAAGAAACTACTTTTGCTCCATCCTAGGATTGATTATCCCTTCAAGTATTTCTCCTAGGATTGATTATTCCTTCAAGATAAGATTATCACCTAGTCGCGCCGAACAATTTTTGGAATCGCCTTTGCAATTAGTCATTAAAGACTGGAACAGTCTACCTGAATCCATTGCGGGTCTGGCGAACGTCGCTCTTTTCAGAGACGCCTGTGAAACTTTGTTCAGTTACTATTTTTTTTTAATAGGAGTACTGTGCGTGCACATTACCTGCATGTTTTACCTTTATTCGTGTATGCCCTTGCGTTACCTCTGACTGTCGTCGTCTTGGTTAGTTGAAGCATACTTTTTTTTTCTTTTAAGTACTTGCTGATGTTTTTTCTTTCTCACATTCGCGTGTATTTTGTATTAGAATGTAGTCACCATGTACCCTCCCCCCAGATGTAATGGCTTCGGGCTGTCGTATAAATAAAAGTATGACTGAACTCCGTTGTGTCTCAGACAGCACTCGCTGACTCTTTATTTTCCTGGCCCTAACGATACAGTCGCAGCGCAGCAGCAGCGCTCGGAACCAGCACGCCACCGCTCCCACTCCCGGACGTTCGCTGAACCACTTAAACCCAATAATGATTCAGTAACACTACATCTTCCCCCCTTTAAAGTTCTATGGCCCTAATGTACAACTGAACTAGTCAGCTCGACGTTCAGTCATCAAATCCCAGTCTTTTGGGAGGTCTCACGATTCGACCCGACCGCGTATGCTGCAGTCCGACGGGAGATCTCGCTGTGTTCTGGTTGGCACTGCACGTTTCACCAGAGGTCTCCCGGGGCGAGTCCTGCGGCTGCGGCAGGGGAATCACCTGGCTGCGGTTTCTTCTCAGGGTTCCAGAACTTGTTTCGACGTACAAGGATCTGGGCGTTTGAGCATGGCCCACAACCGTGCCCGACGTGCGAAGCTCTGGAAGCCAAACCGGATCGTCCTCTTTGAGGGGTGCCAGTGGTCTTGCTCTGTGGCGCCTGTCATAATTCCGCTTCTGCCTTTGTCTCTGTTTCTGATCCTTCCTTTTCCATGCTGACTGGTTGAAGGTTCGGGGCTTCAGTTGATCAGGATACATGGGAAGTCTGCTGCGGAGCCTTCTTCCCATGAGTAGTTGGGCGGGACTGAGCCCTGTAGGGCCTGGCGTGTTGCGGTAGTTAAGCAGCGCCAGATAAGCATCTGCACTCTTCTTCACAAAGCTCTTGATTGTCTTCACCATTCGTTCGATTTCCCCATTGGCTTGGGGGTATCTCGGACTTGTTGTGATATGTTGAAACCCGTAATGCTGGGCGAAGTTCTTGAACTCTGTCGCGGAAAATTGCGGACCATTGTCCGTAACTAGGACCTCCGGTATCCCATGTCGGGCGAATATACTCTTCATTCGCTCTATAACAGCCTTTGCTGAAGTGGAGGACTGAAGAATGGCGACTTCAGGATACCTGGAACGGTAATCAACCAGCAGGAGATAGTTCACACCATCGAGCTGGAACAGGTCAGCGGCGACTTTCTGCCAGGGCAATTCTGGCGTTTGAGACGACAACATCGGTTCTCGAGCTTGATTCTTGTACATCGCACATTCTGCACACTTGTCTACGATGTCTATTATGGCCCTGCTGATTCCCGGCCACCAAACGGACTCCCTTGCCCGTGCTCGACATCGTACAATCCCTTGATGTCCCTCGTGGATCCGCGTTAGCATCTCTGCTCGAAGACACTTGGGAATGATAAGCCGGGGTCCTTTCAACAGTAGGCCTTGGCACACCGTTATGTCGCCTTGCTCTCCAAAGAACGGCTTCAGGTTCCATGAAAGTTTGCTTTTCGATGGCCAGCCGTCCTCACAGTACTTGAACAAACTTGCACAGTCTTGGTCCTCCCTCTGGAGCTTCCGGATCCTCTGAAGAAGGTCTTCCGACGCCGGCAGTGTGCTGATTGCCCCCAAAACAAATGACGAAACCTCGGCAGGGTTCAACATGCCCTCAGATGACTCATCTTCGCAGGGCGCTCTCGAGAGCATGTCAGCTGTTGCCATGTTCTTTCCTGGGATGTATTCGATCTTGTACGAATATCGCATCAGGCGCATTCGAAACCGTTGCACCCGTGGGGACAGCATATCCAGGTTATGCTGGCCCAGCAGTGGGACCAGGGGCTTATGGTCTGTCTGAAAAACGAACTCCAGTCCTCGGAGATACTCTTCAAATCTCTCAGCCGCCCATGTCAGTGCGAGGGCTTCTTTTTCGATCTGCGCATAGCGCTGTTCTGTTGGAGTAAGAGAACGAGAAGCGAACGCAACTGCACGGAGTTCACCATCTCGTTGTTCTTGAAGGAGCACCGCTCCCAGGCCATGGGATGAGGAGTCGGCTGAGACGATGGTACGAGCAGAACTGCCATACTTTGCAAGGCATCTCTCTGATGTGATCATTTGCTTGACTTTGTCAAGGGCTCGTTGTTGCTCCAATCCCCAAGTCCACTCATTGTTCTTCCGAAGTAGTTCGCGAAGTGGTGCTGTCACTTGCAACAGGGTGGGCAAAAAGCGTGCAACATGGTTCACCATACCCAACACCCGTCGGAGTCCAGATACATCTGTAGGGGCAGGTAGAAGCTGGATTGCCTTGACCTTCTTTGGATCTGCACGGATGCCATCCTTGTCGAGGATCACTCCTAAAAACGACACCTCAGTGACGCCAAATTGACACTTGCCGGGGTTGAGCGTCACACCGGACCGGGCGAGTTGCTGCAGGGCTGCTCTCAGTCGGTTGTCGTGTTCTTCTCGCGTGGCTCCGTAAACCAAAACATCGTCCATTAAATTCTGGATACCTTGAAGTCCGTCCAGAATCTCTGTCATCTTTCTCTGAAAAACTTCAGGTGCCGAGGTTATACCAAAGGGCAGTCTCTTATAGCAATATCTCCCAAATGGCGTTATAAACGTGGTCAGCTCTTGTGACTCGGGGGACAAGACAATCTGGTGAAATCCAGAGTTTGCGTCTAGTTTGGAGAAAAACTTTGCTTCGCCGATGTTCGCCAGAACTTCCTCCACGGTGGGCATGATGTGTCGCTCTCGACGCACAGAGACATTCAGTTTTGTAAGGTCGACGCAGATTCTGATATCGCCCGATGGCTTCTGAACGGGTACGATAGGAGCGCACCAGTCGGTCGGGCCGTGAACTTTTCTGATGATTCCAGTGGCTTCGAGTCTCTGCAGCTCCTTTTCGACTCCTGGTCTCATCGGAAATGGAATCCGTCTTGGCGTGCTGACTGCAAATGGTTCCGCGTCAGGTTTGAGCTGAATTCTGTGTTCCCCTTAGATCGTTCCAAGCCCTTGGAACACTTCCGGACACATACTTTCGTACTTGGACCTGTTGTGGGAAACGTCGTTGAGAAAGCGAACCATCCCGAGGGACTCGATTGCTGGCATTCCCAGCAGTGGCATTTGGAGATCTCGAACAACGTAGATAGTCTCTTCTGAAACCTTGCCCTGCCACTTGACCACAGCCTTAAACTTCCCCAGTACGTCCAGGCTTTTCTTGTTCGGTCCCTTCAAATCCTCGGCTTGCAGAAGTCTTGGCGGCTTGCCAGCGAAGTCTTCTCCGACGACGGTGACGTCAGCGCCTGAGTCAATCTTTGCTCGGAGCGGGTGTCCGTTCACAGTCACCACAGCCAAACGCGCGTTCGGTCCGCTTCGGCATACGCTTCCGAGGAATGAACCGCTCTCAGACGCATGCACTTCTGCAACGTGCGTCTTACTCAGGTTTGATAGCGCTCTTCGGCATTTCCTGGCGAAGTGTCCAACTTTCTTGCATTTCATACACGCTTTGTTTCTTGCCGGGCAGTCTCGTTTCTGGTGGGGACCGTACCCACAATTCTCGCATGCTTGCGTCGGCGGCCCGGCCTCGATCTTCGGTGCGCGTACATCTCTCTTGCGCGGCGGCTTGGAAACGGAGTCTGCATTCAAGGCCGCGTCCTCGCTGCGTCGCGAAGGCTCAGTTTTCGCCAGGTCCTTTTGCTGTTTTCTCACGGTCTCTCTGAGTCGGGCTTTTGCCAAAGCTGTGTCCAGCGTTAACTCGGCATCCATTTGAAGCGTTTCTGACAGCTTCGCGTCTCGGAGGCCCACAATAAACCGGTCGCGGATGAGTCTTTCTTTCAACTCGCCGAACTCGCACCGTGCCGCCAAAGTGTGCAATTCGGTAACAAACTGGTCCACTGTCTCCTCCGCTTCCTGTACACGTCGGTTGAAACAGGCGCTTTCGTAGACGACGTTCTTTGAATGCACAAAATGGGCGTTGTACTTCCCCTTTACGAGCTCATAGTTCTTGAACTCAGCGTCGGTGAGGTTAAAGGTCTTCAAAATTTTTCTTGCTTTTCGTCCCATGCAATATAGTAGGGATCTGACCTGTGCCTCCTGGGTTCATTCGCTGAGTCCGGATGCAAACATGTAGTCTTCGAACTCGTCCAGCCACGCCGGCCACTCGGCCACGTTGTCGAAGTTGAAGGGGGGCGGTTGTTGGACGCTGCTCATGATTTTCGGTTGCGTGGAAGCGGAAGGCTTTTGACCGCTGGAGTCTGACTGGTCCTCGTCAGACATGCTTTCCGGCAACGGCGGTGGGAGTTGTCACTTCTGACACCATGTCGTATAAATAAAAGTATGACTGAACTCCGTTGTGTCTCAGACAGCACTCGCTGACTCTTTATTTTCCTAGCCCTAACGATACAGTCGCAGCGCAGCAGCAGCGCTCGGAACCAGCACGCCACCGCTCCCACTCCCGGACGTTCGCTGAACCACTTAAACCCAATAATGATTCAGTAACACTACACGGGCGATCTGAGAACATTAAATGAAATGAAATACAATGAAAGAACTACAAGAGCACTCGACATCGGTTCGTAACAATCAACGCCTCGGACGGCACGGCACTCCTGTAGTGGCTCGAGTAACCACTAAGAGTAGCCAAACTCTAACAATGCCTGGAGATCAACACACTAATTTTTTTATTTTGCCAACTGCAGCGTATGGCTATGATTATCGTTCGCAGCATAGGATAGGCACCAGGCGACGTGGCCGCTTGTTCTGGCTCCAAGTTGAGGGGATGAACGATGCTCATATTTCTCGAATTTCTTAGGTGACTGCCATTTTCTTGAAAGACATATTACGACAAGTTGATTCAGTTGCTAGCGTTAGCGAGTAAATCTAAGTGGTATTTAGCGAAAGTAGAAACATCGTTTCATGACCCCTTTAAAGGAATGCTGAACCAAACATTTTAGTGTCCATAATAAGTGGCGCACGATGTTTACATCAACGAATTGCCGCCGGTGTGCGCGAGCAAACGCAACGGAATTGACGTCATAGTCCTCTATTCACGCTTAAAGGTGCCCTGAGGACGTTTCTGGGATCGCCTAAATATGGCGAAAACTGACTCTGCGGCCTCTAAGCATCCTAGATATTCATAAATCATAACGATGCGCGGCCGACTTCCCTATTAAAGAAGCAATCAAAGATAGAAATTATCTCCGGATATGGGAGGAACATTGTGCCGGCAGCCGGGACGACATGTGACAAATTAAAACGCGAAATTCCTTTAAGATTACAAACTCCATTATTATTACAAAATGCGTATGCTTTTGTAGATTGTTGAAGCAAGCAAGAGTTGTCAAGTAATGTAAATTTTGGCGGTGGGGGAACACGATACTGCAATAATCGCCTCAAAAACAGCAAACTATGTTTGTTTTTTGTTTTGTTTTCGCGCGGGAGTGATGTGTCCGGTTGCCATCTTTCGAGCGCTCGAGCGCGCGCTCGCTGAGTTAAATCGTAATCCGGGTTGTATGGACAACGAGCAGCCTGCATTCGATATATCACTCCGTGGTTCAACCGGTCGAAGGCCCGAGGACCCTTCGCTTGCCATTGGCTCACAGTGGTCCTCATTTCGGGAACAGGCTCCTCCCATCGCCGGCGATGACCTCGGTGTGTCGCGATTTTTTATTGGTTTTTAATAGAAAAATAAGCCATGTATTGTCATGATTTAGGGATTCCTTAGACGCTTAGAGCCAGCAGAGTGAGTTATCACCATATTTAGGCGATCTCAAAAATCTCAGGGCACAATTAAGATGTCAGTCGAATGTATGGGCTCTCGGTGCATTCAACATAATATGGGTTGTTGGCATTGGGTAGAACAAACAGTGGCGTGAGCCTAAAAAGAACAATATTACGCTATCCTAAGTTAACTAATCGATTAAGCGAAGTAATAAAGCAAATTTCGTCTCGAAGGGCTTTACTCAAATGAACGAACTTTTGTTCACCACTTTGCCGTTATGTGCTGCCAGGCAGGCGTCAAAGAGCAAGTTATTTTTAACGATTCCCTCGAACCTTTTGACTTGTTCGAAATCGAAAGACATTTATGTTAAAGCGAAGAATAGAACCTATAGACGTTTCTCGTTTCCTTTCGCTCTCAGTCACTTCGGTTCCGCATCTGGTATGCGGGACGCAAAAATATTAAAACATTTCACCCTGGAATATGCGAGAAACATATGGGGGAGTACAAACAGAAACGTATGACAATCACGAATTTTTCGCGAACGAAAGCGGTGTGACGAGATCAAAACAACGTTTTAACGCACTCTGGAAGAGACGACATTCGAAAAGTCTGCACCTTTGTGAAAGAAAAAAAAAAAAAAAGGTGTATAGGGATTGATGTCTTGTTAAAACATTTCATAGGCTTGTCCGTGCTGGTAGGTGTGTGTCTTTAAACGGCTATCATTATTACTTGCGCTCTCAGAACATACCGAACATCGCAACAACACTTTTTTTAAGAGTGCGCGCCATCTAGTTGCAGCTGCGCCAATTCTCCAACTCCGCCATTGTTTCGGCACGCACTCTGAGCATGCATTGGGCACGATAGAAAGTATTCACTGGCGGCCATAGCTGTGTGCACGACTGCTGAGCGCGTGGTGGCGAGCTTCCACAGTTCTTTTGTAACGTGCATTTCGCACCCTCAAGATCGCCGGTCTTAGCAGCCGATTAATATGGGCTCGTTCAGAGCATGCGCTATACACATCACCCAGAAATATGGCGCCAAGTGAATACTCCCTATAGGATGGCGTCGGTGTTTGACTTGCACTAGGCACAACGCGAATCGAAAACGAGTGCTGCGCGTCAGTGTTCGGAGAAGACTCGGATCCAATCAGAGGCTTCATGCCCCCATGGATCTTGGATGGATGTAAATGGCTATACCCTTTGTAACGGGCGGTAGCTTGCGCCACCTAGCCCAAGTCTAAAAAAGACAAACATATAATAATAATAATAATAATAATAATAATAATAATAATAATGTATTTTATTTCCCATTCTGGTTGGCAAAAAAGGGTAGGACGTTAGGACAAAAAGCTGCGGTTGCAGTTTGACGAGGTCCTGGCGCCCTAACACACTTTGGCGGGAAAGCAGCATGGGAAACACAACGAAAACAAACACAAAAATGGGCACTGAAACACAATCACGAGAATTCACAAAAAAATATTTTTAAAGTAGAAACAAGTTTCACCACAGATACAAAGACTCCAGGCACTAAAGGTAAAAATTATGCTGTTTGTAATATGATTTTTGCCAACATCCGATTTGATGTCCCATAGATGCTGATACCATTGGCTTCAAGTTTATTAAGTAAGGATGGTAATGCGTATTTTAATGATGCAAAGCCGTAATTCGTACAGGGTATTGAAACGCTCCAAAATTCGCCGTGACGTGTGACATATTTATGGTCTAGTTTTGCTAAGCCAGACAGTGCGAAAAGGAAAGAAATATTATGTTTTAATGCCATATTATACATCACCAGCAGGCGAAATTGGTACAATTGGTCAATAGGAATGACGTTATGTTTAAGAAAAAGATCCCGGGAAGAGTGCAAGAAGGGTCCATTTGCGATAATTCGAAGAACCCTCTTTTGGGTGAGCAGTAGTTTTGTTATATTTTGTGTCGTTGTTTGGCCCCACACTAAATGGCAATACACGTAGTGAGTGTAAATCAAAGAATAATATAAAAGTAATTTAACACCTGTTGGAAAGACATCGCGATTCTTACAAAGGAGACCAATAGATTTACGAACTTTTTGATGTATATAATCAACGTGCTCATTCCATGACAACGATTCAGTGAAATAAAGGCCCAATATTTTTACCGACTTTACCACTTGAAGTGTTGAAGACCCTAAAGTTATTTGAAGCAAATTAGGTACATGTCTATTTCGTGGTAGAAATATCACACATTTAGTTTTTTCCGCGTTTATTTTTAGCCCGTTTACTTTCGTCCACAAATCGATGTTTGAAAGGACTCTTATTGCCGTGCTCTCTATTTCATCCGCTGTGTGGCCCTTAATAAAAATAGTTGAGTCGTCAGCATAAGAAACAAGGTTTGCCTGTGGTACACTATTTTCAATATCATTAATAATAATAATAAATAAGATTGGCCCGAGCACACTACCCTGAGCTATTCCGGTTTCAATCTTTTCAGTGGTTGAAATATAGTTGTTAATGGTAACGAATTGTGTACGGTACTTCAGGTAAGATCTAAATAAATTCAGGGCAGTTCCACGAATACCATAGCGCTCTCAATTTTCCAGGAATTCCTCCCGCCCTCCTAACGATTCTTCTCCCTCTGATTATCACCCGGCAGTGTAGGATATCACCAGGATGACCCCAGAAAAGCGACCTCCAATGTTGCGTGATGAACTTGTGAAAAGGGTTTATTGCGAACCAGTTACGGCGTAGTGTGTCGAACCCTGAGAACTAACCCCAATTCAGAAGCCCACGCTGCGGAAAAAAGTTTTTAATTTCGTGTATGTGTGTGTGTGTGTTGCGTGTTTGAGTACAATATATATTTGCTTCATCTCATATAGATTGCGGAGTTTTAATTTTACTTCCGTTATGGAATTTCTCTTTTTTTACGACCATCGCCTGTTTAAATATACACCTGTTTTGAGGGGAAACAAAAACGTACCTGGCAAAACTCGTTATAATTCTGCTTCCCTACACGAAAAAAAAATTATTCGATCCTATTACACAGTCGTATATGAATGATCGCTTCCGAAACAACCTTCAGTCAAAATGCGTTAAATTATACATACAACCGACGAAAGTTATAAATAAGAAAAACAGACAACAAAAAGCTTTCACGAATAAAAAAAAAAATAGATTACATGCTAAGAAAGCAGAAAGAAAAATACACGTTTCCTTAGCCTATTCATGGTTCTAGGCAACTGTGTGATTACTAAATCAAAACCGGAAGATTTAAAATTCTACCGGCCCACAAGTTTTCTTAGGCTCTCTCCTGTTCGTTTCTGAAACTACGAAAGAAGTTGAAATTATATCTCCGCCAACTGAACAGAAAGAAAGCTGTAACGTACGAACAAAAAATTGTTTGAGAAGAATCCAATTACAGAGTTTCTCTTCCGTTCTCCAAGTTTGACAGGTGGTAGCGCGAAAGCGTACACCTCATGGGACGCAATCTTGGTCATTTCATCCTGTTTACATGGTGGCTCACAATAAAGCTTTGGCAGCTCAACCTTGGTCACTGACGATCGACAGTCTTCATCCACGCCTTTTCTGCGTCTTTCTTTGCCCGGTTTTTTTCTTACTGATATGTTCCTTGAGTTTAAGTGAATTTGCCACAAGTGTGAGGCAAGTCGAAACTTTGTGCTCATTTTTTTTTTCAACTTGTACAATTTAGAAAACAAACCAAAGTGAAGTGAGTAAGCCACATTTACCATCCTTTTGTAACATAAATAATCCAAAAAAGTTTATCGTTGTTTTTACTATCATAGGAATTGTTGTTATAAGTGAATGATAAATGATCTTATCTATCTCCAGATGTCTGAAGGCAGTATACTTCGTTTCACCCTAAGTCCAGACAAAGCCGACGCCACGAGCGCATGGGACAAATCAGAGAGCTTCAAAAGCGCACCATCATGGTGTTCGTCATGTTTGTGTGCGTTTTCCATATCATCGCTGACCCAATCATAAACACAAAAGGCCTAGTGATTTGCGCTTTTGACGATGCCTGAAAACAGACCTAGTGGACTGGTCCTTTTGGGGGACGCCCAAGTTCCTGAGCACGTGGCCCGAATTCTGGAAAGACGGCCAAAGTATAGTGTTGAGCCTAGCTTGAAGGCGCATGAATTGTTGGCTGATGTACGACGAGTGTCGGGAAGGGCAGCGTTTGAGGATAAGGACCACTGTGTTTCGGAGGGGGTTGACTGCCTACAAAAATGTGCTACGAAACGGCCTTCTGCATCTGGGGTGGGTTCTCTACAAAGTGGTGTTACCTATTTTCAAAACAACGATCTCAGTTTGCTACAGGCTGATAAGGAGGGAGGATTTGTTGTGCTACACCGGAACCTACTGAACACTAAGGCTGACGATGCGACTAAGAAGAACTTCGAGATTACCAATCTTAAACCAAAAAGGGTCAAATGTGCGGCACCCAAGTTGTGCAAAGAATTACAACTGTCCAAGCTGGAAAATGAAATTGGAAAGACCACGAAAGGTAATCTTGATGTATTCTTTTCTGTTAAGACACATAAAGTGAATGCACCCCTGCGGACTATCGTTACCGAGAAGGGTGTGTGGCAGAGACAGGTCAGGCGATTCCTTCAAGAGTACTTAAGTCGCATACAGACCTGTGATACGTTTTTGGTGCGCAATTCGCAGAGTGTCATAGATTAGCTCAGTAGTGGTGCAGTCACAGACGAGGGAGGGGGGGGGGGGAGCTTTTCCATAGATGCTGAGCATCTTTTCTATTTCATACCTCATTGCGCTTTGTCTCGGTACGTGAATGTATTGAAAGAAATGGCGAGATTGGCTTCCAGAACGCTAGCGGTGTGTGTACTGATGGGTTTTTAGAGCTTCTCAAGTTTTATCTGGAGTCAAATTTTATCCTATACGCCTCGCAAGTGAGCTCATTTTCGTCTTCTGCGCATGAGAAAGGAAGTAGCGGTGACGTCAGAACGCCGAGCCCTGATTGGCTGATCGCGACCCCCTATCTGAGTGTCGTCTGCTCCTTTGCAACGTCGTCTGCTCGCAACGTCGGCTGCGTCTGTCTTACCTTTCCCGCGACTTTCGGAAGTCGAGCGAGCTCGACTTCGCCTTTCAGAGAGGGCAGACGAAATAAGTCGAGCGGTACGTTGTTTTTTGTCCAACAACTAGCAGACGCGCTTCAAGGAGGGATGTCAAAGGACTCACTGGCGAGGTGTCCCGAGGCGCCGAGGTTTGTTTGCTAAGAACCGAGAGTGAGGGTGGTTAGGGTCCACAAGTTCCCTCCCAAATACTTTTCCCTCCTTTCGTGTGCGGCGAGACTCCTCAATCTTTAACGGCGTCGGCGGATTGGCGCAGTTAACGTCGTCTGCTTTACGTCTGCTAGTCAAGGCGATGGCTGCTTTACCTTTCCTGCGTCTGTCGGAGAGTCACCGCTTTTTTACCGGCGAGAGTCACCGTTGCCTCGGAGTACAAGGAGATCACAAGGGGAAGAGATTGACTTCTTAATCTAAAATTGCCGTCAGCGATCAAAGTATAAGACGGGAAGGGTTCACAGGGGTCGCGCGAGCATATTCCATTGCGTACGCCAGCCGGTCGTGGGCAGACGGTCGCCGAGTTGGAGTGCCTGCTAGGCTTATCTGCCGTGCTCGCTTGGTCGTTGTCGGTGGAATCGTGGCCGTTGGAGCTTTTCCCGGGTGTTTGTGGATCCAGCGGTATTGTTCGTCGTGGTCTGTTTCAAGTACTTTTTACTTGCTGTGCTGTGTGTACTTTCTTGCTGCTTGAAGTCGCGACGCGTGAGAAGCGCACGTAGATAAATAAAGGTTCGTGGGTCGTAGCGACCGCGACGCTGTCGGCCATGCTGATTTGATCGTAAGAAGTGCGTGAGACAGCTTCGGAGCTGTCGTAGGATTTCGTCGTAACCTGCGCAAGTTTTGTATTACGCACATTTTTGGCGTAAGATCGTTCTGTGAACCTGGCCTCTGCACTTTCGAAAGTCGCAGGAAAGGTAAGACAGATGCAGACAACGTTGCGAGCAGACGACGTTTCAAAGAAGCAGACGACGCTCAGATAGGGGGTCGCGATCAGCCAATCAGGGCTCGGCGTTCTGACGTCACCGCTACCCCCTGCGCAAGGAGAAGACGAGCTTGCCCTCCGCATTTAACGGTAAGCTTTACTTTCAGAAAAAAAGGAATTTGTATCGGTTCGTCTGTGGCGCCTGTGCTTTGTGATATTTTTTTAGCCAAGTGCGATAGGACCATTTCTGAAAAACTGTATGACAAGCGCGTTTGTAAAGTGTTTCGTTACGTGGATGACTTTTTGGTTTTGTTTATTAGGTTGAGGGCGTATGTGAGGCAGATGTCGTGAGGCCTGTTTTAGAAGTTTTCACACATCATTTGGAGGGGCTCACTTTCACTCACGAACTTCAGGATGGGGCTTACCTACAATTTTGGGTTTTGAGATTAGAATTCATTGCTAAACACGTTTGCTGGTCTTATCACCCACGCTGAAAGAAGGGTCTTCTTCCATATGATTCATCGCACCCTAAGCTGGTCAAGAGAAGCATTGCCTTGTCTTGCCTACAAGCTGCACTCGAGAAGTCATGTCATCATGTGGTTAACGATAGCTTTCCCGGCAGGTTGAGAGACTGAGAGTGGTAGGTTTCCTAACTTCGGTTTTATTGAGCGTCGCGGAGGGTTTGTTAAAGAAACTCAAGGGGGAACCCCGTCCCCGGACAAAAACGCCAAATAAGAGACCGCTCGTAATACCGCATCTCCATAAAATTTCACACAACTTGAAAAAAGTTGCCTTGAGGTACGATGTGCCATTGGTGTTTTTCGCTCCGTGTAAGCTGGCGCAACTATGCGCGAGAGTTGGCGATAAGAAGGACAAAGGCCCCGCTTGCTCGGTGAAGCATGAGAATCAATATGTTGTTTGCAAGATGAGAGTTGTGTACACGATTCCACTAACGTGTGGAAAATCCTACGTCGGTCAGACTTGCAGATGTGTTAATCACAAACTGCGGGAGCATGACTTGTCGTTGCGATCAGTGGTGGGAGCTGTAGGGGGGCATCTGCCATGGCATTGTCATGGATGTGGGTGCACACATATCTTCAGTAAGACTGGTATCATTGGCAATGGGAGGGACAGAGTGAATAGAGAAATTTTAGAGGCGCACACAACTATCAAAGCAGGCCCCAACTGCGTAAGCCAAACGTCACTGGGCCTGAGTAGTAAACAGTTTTTTTTTTTTTTTTGGACACGTGGTGAATGTATCATGTGATGTAGGCCGGGTCGCTGTTTTCTTTGTTTTGTTTTCATGTGATTAAATTTCAGTTGAGAGTCAGCGCAATTGTCCTGTTTGCACTTCTTCCGTTTACTGTGCGCTGTTTTCCTTTTTGCCAGCATGAACCAACTAACCCACATCGCCACCCTTATTTACTTCTACTGGTGTTGTAGCTGTCCTTTTCATGTTTTTTTTTCTTTTTTCTTGATGTTCCTGTACCACCACGGGCATATGCGTCTCGCAGGAACTTCTTTTCAGTTTCCTGTAGGTCAATAGAGGGTGAACTGATGCAGTTGTCTTCTTTTCCTTCTATGGCTAAGGCCTCAAGCATTTCTCGAGAAAAATTCTCGTCACCCTTCGAATCCGAACATTCAAAAATTTTTAAACAAGGGGTGGCCACTGCAGCTCCTTCAGCCAGCCTCAGAAAAACTTTGAGACCCTAATGTCCAAGTTTTATGAGGCCGGATATCTGAAGCCCTTCCTGGCCTCCATTGGTGAAAATATTTGCCGCAATATAAAAAAAAACAAAAAAACTTGTCTGCATTGACCTCGATACGCCAAAGAAGATCTCACGCTCTAGTGTGAATGAGCCAAAGAAGATCTCACGTTTCCAATGTGAATTAGTGCCACTAAATAAGCTACGCTTCAGAGTAACGACACTTGACCATATTGTGTCTTAAAATCATGGTTGCCAGTTATCTGAAGCTTTATCTGAAATCACAGGAAATGCTTTTCCGCCCTCCACAAATGTTTAAACCTTCCGCGACAGAGCAATGCAATAATACATGACCTTCCTATCACCGAATCTAATGCTGAGGAAGTCGCACTTTTGAATTATGAGGATCGGCCGTAGCGTCTGTTCTGCATACGAGCCAAAATGGCGGCGCCCACAACAATGTCGGGGAACGGAGTGCCGATACTCTAAGCGCAGCTTATATAGTGGCTCTAGTGTGAATGAGCGGTAACCACTCATTCACACTGGAAGCGGATCAGCGTTCGCAAAGCGGTTGCGAACGCAGTACAATTGCACGCGCACTCGATGACATCAAGTGCGCGTGCAATTGTACTGGATTTTTATATAGACGATTGCAAGCTGGGCGACTGGCCACCGCCATTTCTCTGCTCGAGCAGGCACGCCCGTGCGATTACGAGCTTGCGAAAGCTACGTTCACCCGCGCGTTGCACGCGCTTGCACGCATGGGGCACCACTGGTGGCGCCATGCTTGCAATTGTCTATAACCGCGTTCGCAACCGCTTTGCGAACGCGGATCCGCTTCCAGTGTGAGCGAGCGGTTACGGTGGTCCTATATTGCCACAGTTAACAAACACCTCGATTGTTCGCGCATGACAGCGCGCCTCGGTCTTTTTCGGTTCTGCACGGGGCTCGCGCCTGGCGCTCTCTCGTGCCCCGCGCAATCTCGAAGAGCTGCCAGCAGATCGACCGGACCGGCCCTTCGCATTTCCTTTTGATCCTGCTTTGCAGTACGCTCATCAAACCCTTCTTGGGTCCTACCACTGCCAACGTCTCCTTCGCCTACGTGACATCTGGAGGAGGTGCGGGGTACGACGTATGCCCCGTACTCCTCTTAGCAGCCGAGATAACAGTCCTCGCCGACCAAGCCCCATTGACGTCACCCCCGTGCACTGTAGAAGCCGTCGCCTACAAGGTCTGTCCCCGGAGTGCGAATTTCTTTCTGTGAAGAGGACAAGAAAAAAAGAAAAATGAAAGCCGCTTACAACTCCCTGTAACGCCGAATTAGAGCGCAGCTCTTGAGGAGGAGGAGGCAAGGGCACTGGGGGGGAGGCTTAAACTAACCAGGGGGGGGTCACGTGACCTTGGGGGTCACGTGACCCCCAATGCCGATGTCATCACTGACGTCACTGATGACGTCATCAGTGACGATGACGATGCGGGTACCGATGACGTCATTAGTGACGTCACTGATGACTTCACCAGTGATGATGACGATGACGATGCGAATGTCGGTGACGTCATCAGTGACGTCGCTGATGACGTCATCAGTGATGATGACGATGACGATGCGGATGCCGGTGACGACATCAGTGATGTCACTGATGACGTCATCAGTGATGATGACGATGACAATGCGGATGTCGGTAACGTCATCAGTGATGATGACGATGACGATGCGGATGCCGGTGACGTCATCAGTGATGATGACAATGAAGATGTGGATGCCGGTGACGTCATCAGTGATGATGACGATGACGATGTGGATGCCGGTGACGTCATCAGTGATGATGACGATGACGATGTGGATGCCGGTGACGTCATCAGTGATGATGACGATGACGATGCGGATGCCGGTGACGTCATCAGTGATGATGACGATGACGATGCGGATGCCGGTGACGTCGTCAGTGATGATGACGATGACGATGTGAATGCCGGTGACGTCATCAGTGATGACGATGACGATGTGGATGCCGGTGACGTCATCAGTGATGATGACGATGACGATGCGGATGCCGGTGACGTCATCAGTGATGATGACGATGACGATGTGGATGCCGGTGACGTCATCAGTGATGATGACGATGACGATGTGGATGCCGGTGACGTCATCAGTGACGATGACGTCATCGGGGGGTCACGCGACATCGGCGGGGGTCACGTGACCTCGAGGAGGGGCTCACGTGACCTCGGGGGGTCACGTGACCCCCATGAGGTCACGTGACCCCGGTGGGGGGCTCGCGCGGTGCATTATGGGACATTTCCCATGATGCACCGCGCGGTTACGCCGACGGCGACGGCGACGGCGACGGCGACGCCGCTCAAGCCGGAAACGGGCCCCTAAGAGCTGCGCTCTAAAACAACAATGGCCAACAACCGGGAAGAACGCCCACAACCATCGCCGGTCATCTTCCAACGACCACGGGACCCCCCTTTTTTTCACGGGTTTCCGCAAGAAGATGCCGACGACTGGCTGGAACAGTTCGAGCGGGTGGCTGCCTTTAACAGGTGGAGTGCTGAACAAAAACTCAACCATGTGTTTTTCGCGCTAGAAGACTGGGCAAGGACGTGGTTTGAGAACCAGGAACGCCTACTGATAACGTGGGACTCGTTCACGGCTCGCTTTCTACAATCATTTTCCACGGTCCTACGAAAAAAGCGAGCCGAGCTGCTGCTCCAAACACGTCTTCAGCACCCCAACGAGACAGTGGTGGTCTTTGTTGAAGAAATGAAACGTTTGTTCCGGCGCGCCGACCCCGACATGACCGAAGACAAAAAGCTCCGGATCCTTATAAGGGGAGTGAAAGAACAGCTCTTCGCCGGAGTAGTACGCAACCCTCCAAAGACTATTGCGGAGTTTTTCGCCGAAGCCTCAACCATTGAGCGGACCCTAATTGACATGCGAACGAGGCAGTACGACCGACAGGTGCCAGCGATTTCCGCCAACTACGGCGAAACCCGTGGAGTTGACGCCCAGACGTTGCGGGACACCGTTCGAATCGTCGTGCGCGAAGAGCTGCGGAAGCTATTTCCAACGACGCAGCAACCTCAAGTCTCATCATTGCCCGAGGTCATACGAGAAGAACTGCAGCAGGCGTTGAGCTCAATGGATATTTCACCAGAAGCCCGACGACCCCAGGCTATGACGTATGCTGCCGCTGCTCGTAGACCTGCCCACCTCCCGAACCCTCAATGGGAACCATTATCAGATCACCGTCCGCCTCCCCCCAACACTTTTCCTGCCACCCCACGACGCCCTGGCACGCCGAAGAGCGAAATCTGGCGCACGCCTGATCACCGCCCTCTCTGCTTTCACTGTGGAAAAGCCGGTCACGTATACCGCTTCTGCCCATACCGCCGACTTGGACTTCGAGGTTTTTCTGGTGACGCTCCACGACCCCGGGTTGGAGAGCGACCACAAGAAATCCAACACTATTTAGCTGAGCTGGGCGAGGACCCCGGCGCTTCTCACGGTCTCCATCGCCTAGTCGATCTGTCTCGCCACAACGCCGTCCCTCTTCAGAAGGCGCGAGACGCAGGTCGCCCAGCCCCGGTAGGGGAAACTGAGGGCAGCAACCCCCGGAGGTGGGGTTGCTGTACAGCACGGTCGCGAACATCCTCCCAACCAGCACCGACGCAGCCGCGATTCGACGTCACGACGTCCCGACGACGCCCTGCCGGCCACTACCGACCTGAACGTATCTCTCGACGGACGCGACATAACCGCTCTTGTCGGCACGGGTGCTGACACACTCCGTTATCAGCGGACAGTTTGCAAGAGCTCTAAAGAAAGTGACGACCCCCTGGGACGGCCCTCTGATTCGTACAGCGGGCGGTCATCTTGTGACTCCCACCGGACGATGTACAGCGAGGGTTACAATCCGCCATTTTACTTATCCTGCGACATTCGTCGTCTTGCACCAGTGCTCGCGGGACGTTATCCTGGGTATGGATTTTCTTCTTGAGCACAGCGCTGTCATCGATCTCAAATCAAAGTCGGTCACATTTTCTACAGAGCACGCCATCCCGCCCAACGTCCAGCCGACGTCACTTACACTACTCGACGAACATGTTACGTTACCACCCCACTCAAGTGTCCTTGTCTCTGTAACAGCTGCCGTATCCAGAGATTACGAGGGAGTCGTTGAAAGCAACAGATCTCTGCTGCTTTAACGAGGAATCTCGGTTGCGAGAGGAGCCGCTCGCCTTGAACAAAGACAAGCGATTATCCTGCTAACAAACTTCACTTCGGAATACCAACATCTCAGCCGGGGCACCTCACTCGCTTCCCTAGAGGACACCGCAGAGGTCAGTAATGCTCTGACCCTCTCCGATACAAGCTCGACGATTTCCGTGACGGAAGAGGCTGCTCCCGCATTCGATGTAAACCCTGTGTTGTCTCGGGAAAAACAGGACCGACTACAGCACCTACTTGAACGCTACCGCGACTCTTTCTCGTCCTCTTCGAAAATCCGGCAAACCCCGATTGCGAGACATCGAATCATAACTAACGAGGACGCGCGCCCCCTCCGACAATCTCCTTATCGAGTTTCATTCAAGGAGCGCGAGGCAATTCAACATCAAGTTAAACAGATGCTCTCTGACGACATTATTCAACCCTCTAAAAGCCCTTGGGCATCGCCTGTCGTGCTTGTGAAGAAAAAAGATGGCACCCTCAGGTTCTGCGTTGATTATCGCCGGCTAAACAAAATCACCAAGAAGGACGTGTATCCTTTGCCCCGAATCGACGACACTCTAGACCGATTAAGCCACGCGGAATACTTCTCTTCGATGGACCTCAAGACGGGATATTGTCAGATCGAGGTCGACGAGAGGGATCGGGAGAAAGCAGCCTTCATAACCCCCAACGGGCTGTATCAGTTTAAAGTCATGCCCTTCGGCCTCTGCTCAGCGCCAGCAACGTTTCAAAGAGTTATGGACACTGTGTTAGCAGAACTCAAATGGCAGACCTGCCTCGTATATCTCGATGATGTCGTGTTCTCCACGCACTTCGATGAACACCTACGGAGACTGGAAACGGTACCCGAAGCAATTAAGTCTTCAGGACTGACACTTTAGACGGAGAAGTGCCACTTCGCTTACGAAGAACTAAAATTTCTCGGACACATCGTTAGTGGAAATAGAGTTCATCCGGATCCCCAGAAAACTGCAGCTATTGCACGCTTCCCGCAGCCAGCCGACAAAAAAGCTGTTCGTAGGTTTCTAGGCATTTGCGCTTATTACAGACGTTTTGTCAAGGGCTTTTCTCAACTTGCCGAGCCCCTCATGCGCTTGACGCACGATGATGTACCGTTTACCTGGGAGTCAGAGCAAGCAGACGCATTCCGGGAGCTTCAGCAGCGCCTACAGTCGCCCCCGTTACTGGCCCACTACGACGAGAACGCCGAAACAGCAGTTCATACCGACGCCAGCTCTGTAGGCCTCGGCGCCGTTCTTGTTCAACACCAGAACGGACTTGAGCAAGTTATTGCCTACGCCAGCCGCGCTTTGTCAAAAGCCAAAAAAAACTACTCCACGACCGAAAGGGAATGCCTCGCCATCGTATGGGCGATTTCCAAATTTCGGCCCTACCTATATGGCAAGCCTTTCAAGGTAATCACTGATCACCACTCTTTGTGTTGGCTCGCCAGTTTAACGGACCCCTCCGGACGCCTCGCACGCTCGAGCTTGAGGTTGCAGGAGTTTGACTTCATAGTCCTACACAAGTCGGGACGCAAACACTCCGACGCCGACTGCCTTTCGCGTGCACCTGTCGACCCACCACCAGAAAATACGGACGGCGAAGACACGTTCCTATGTGCGATTAGTGCTAGTACCTTCGCTCAGCAACAACCAGCTGATCCAGACCTAAACAAGCTTATCGACTACCTCGAAGGCAAAACCACCACAATCCCAAGAGTCTTCAAGCGCGGCGTATCCACATTTTGTCTCCGAAACGACATGCTCGTAAAGAAGAATTTCGCCCCTAACAAGGCACAGTACCTACTCGTGGTCTTCGCAGCCCTCCGCGACGAAATCTTCAAGCGGCGCATGACGAGCCGATATCGGAACATCTGGGATTTACGCGTACCCTCAGCAGGATCCATGAACGCTACCTCTGGCCACGCCTCGCTACCAACGTCGCTCACTACGTGCGCACTTGCCGAGAATGCCAACGCCGAAAAGCGCCGCCTACAAGACCTTCAGGACTGTTGAAGCCCATAGAGCCGCCCATGCAGCCCTTCCAACAAGTAGGAATGGATTTGCTGGGTCCTTTTCCTACTTCTGCTACCGGTAACAAATGGATTATCGTGGTTACCGACTACCTAACCCGCTTCGCCGAAATTTAGGCCCTTCCCAGTGGCACCTCTATGGAGGTAGCACGATTCTTCGTGCATACGATCCTCCTGCGACATGGTGCTCCCGAGGTCGTCATCACAGATCGAGGAACAGCCTTCACGGCCGAGCTCATGCAAGCCATTTTGCACTTCAGCCAAACCCCTCACCGGCGGACAACTGCCTACCACCCCCAAACAAATGGCTTGACTGAGCGCCTCAACAGGACCCTCGCAGACATGCTATCAATGTATGTGGACGTCGAACATACAACGTGGGACGAAATTTTACCTTATGTTACTTTCGCGTACAACACGGCAACGCAAGAGACGACAGGAATGACGCCATTCAGTCTCGTATACGGAAGAGCGGCCAAAAGTACACTAGACGCCATGTTACCGTACGTTGAAGACGACATCCATCCCGACGACGTGGAGGCGTTCCCCCAACGCGCAGAAGAGGCCCGCCAGTTAGCAAAGATCCGAATCCAAGACCAGCAACAACGCGACGAACGACGCTACAACCTTCGACAAAATGACTCACAATACCAACCTGGCGACCAAGTTTGGGTATGGACCCCCATTCGCCAACGAGGTCGCAGCGAGAAACTCCTCCGTCGCTACTTCGGCCCGTACAAGGTGGTCCGCCGTCTTGGACAATTAACCTACGAGGTCTTGCCCCAAGAACACTCGCGATCACGGCGACGCCGTTCGCACCCAAGAGTTGTTCATGTAGTCCGCCTCAAACCATACTATGCCAGATAGACGTTAAAAGAACTTATGTGCCCGTCTATTCCCGCGAAGACACAGTTAACAAACACCTCGATTGTTCGCGCATGACAGCGCGCCTCGGTCTTTTTCGGTTCTGCACGGGGCTCGCGCCTGGCGCTCTCTCGTGCCCCGCGCAATCTCGAAGAGCTGCCAGCAGATCGACCGGACCGGCCCTTCACCTTTTCTTTTGATCCTGCTTTGCAGTACGCTCATTAAACCCTTCTTGGGTCCTACCACTGCCAACGTCTCCTTCGCCTACGTGACAATATATTCCTGGGGTAACTCATAGGCTGAAAAAGATCGCAAGCAGACAAGGCGTAAATTTCGTATGCCCGGCACCCAATAAGCTACACTCAATGTGCAGGAAGGTTAATCTAGCCCAGGCTAGCAATACAGGCAGCTGCGGTGGACAACGAGCGGAAGCGGAAGGGGAGGAGGAGGGGGGGGGGGGTGTCGGGTCGCGGCGGGTTAACGTTTTAGGTACCACAGACCCTAGTGACGCCATTGCCTCGGTGAGTCCAATATTTGATTTTTTTTAATGGTGAAATTGGCCACGTATCATGATTTATGCTCTTCTAGGATGCTTCAAACCCGCAGGGTGAGTTATTGTCATTTTTAGGCGATCACAGAATGCTCCCCAGGGCAGCTTTAAAGCTTCGATCCTGTGTGTTGATTGTACCGACAACTCGTTAGCTCGCGAAAGCTATGGAGTGCGTTCGTCTGCTCTAGTTTATTGTATCTTAGAATATAAACAACACCTTTCAAAAATTTGATTTTCTCATCGTGGCTTGTTAGTTGCGATGTATTTAAAAACCTTACGTTGACAAAAAAAATTAAAATATTTGAAAAAATAATAGCAAAATGAGCGCACGGTGTAGGCACCTAACAAAAGTTGACTTAGGGCGCCTTAATGTCCTTCTGTTTAGGGTGATGCCACTCATTGTAGTACTTGATTCCGACAGCACGCGCTCAAGGGGAAAATACAAAGAAGTCGACGAAAACGAAATGCCGCCATAGCACAGTCAGCGCCACACACGCGAAATAAACGTGTGAAACAAAATGGCCAGATGCCACGACTCTACGCAAAGCGCGCATGAAGGCTCCCGAGGTTGACTGCAGAAAGCTTGTTTACAACCAGAGTAGAGGGAGATCGGTGGCCGAGTGGGCTATCGCTCACCAGCTCGGAGCACGTGGATCGGAGCAGAACCGAGGATCCGGGGTTCAATCACCACCCCTGCCTGTTTAGATCTAGATGATCATTGTACCGGCGTGCGGTCGTGCATCACTGTTGCGTGATGGACGTTAAAGACCCCAGGCTAGCGGTTGTACA